TTATGCATCATTTTACTTGTATTGGTCTTTGTTAGACATTTGCATCGAGTCGTATTGATTTCGGACCGACATTTTATGTGTTTATTATGTGATGTACATGCTGCCTGGAGTTTGGTTTTGTGCTTTCGTTACTTGTCTGATTTCACTTAATGCATGATAATATGCCATTTTGAGTTGTGGTGTCGATTGTTGAGTTACATTTGATATTCCTTTTTATTTTCTAACTCTTCTTATTACGTTGTGCAAGTTTTGGAAGGCGATTTATCGCGATGCATTTGTTCGGCTTTTATTCTTTGCTTGTGTAGCATCGCTTGGTGCGGGACATTAGCTTGGAGCGCGCATAGCTTGCGATTTATTTTTGCATTGTAATATTGGATGATTGTATTGGATATTGTATCTGATTTGATTTATTGTTAATGCTAGCTCGCTCGAAGTATTCCGGGTTTCTTGGCTTGTACTTGCTATATAACAGACTCTTATCCGTTTGGTATATTTCTGGTTTATTTTTCTGCATCTGTTTACCGATTTTTTGATGCCATGAGAAGTAGGTATAAAGATCCACGATTATTTACCGCTTTTATGATGCCATGAGATGTAGGATAGAGATGCATGTTCTGGGAGTCCTTTTGAGGCAAATCTGGTTTATTTAAAGACCTGTTTAAGGAAATTCTACTTGTACTTATTTGTTTACACTTGTTTCAAAGACCTCAATGAAGGCATCCCATTCCCATTCCTGATTGATAAGTCCTCAAAAGGAGTTATAGGCGACAGAGGGTCCGCAATTGACCCGACCATTTCTAGTCCCCTGGTCGTTCATAGCTTGCACTGTGCATTGATGTTATGAACTGTGTTGCTCATGTTATCGAGTTAGTCCGATGGAAAATAGAATCGCAATCAATCCCCCACACTTTGTCTTCACCTCGTATTTGTGGAACATTGACGCTTTGATGTGATCTCACTATTGCCTTCTATCTCCTACCTCGATTTTTGATATCGTGGTCAGGTGCTTAGTCGCTTATGACGATTCACTTTTGTTAATCTCTTGCCTCAATTATTTAATATCTTGGTTAAGAGTCGACACCTTTTCTTTCTTTCCCTAATGATTTGATGTCATGGTTAAGAACCACTATTCCCCCATTACGCTTGCCTCGACGATTCAATGTATTGGTTAAGCATCCATTTATCCTACCTTGATGATTTGATATCATAGTTAGGTAGTCCCTTTTTTTCCTACCTCGATGATACGATATCGTGGTTAGATATCCCTCTCCTTATCCTATCTTGTTTCCATGATACCTCGATTAGGCGTGTGCTACTTGAGTGAGTGGATACTCCTCAAGCTTTATTTGTTGGTTTTGGTTTCGACTTTGTATGTTCACACTTAGGTGCGTGTTTCTTTAGGTTTTGAACCTTTGGCATGTCCCCTTAGGATCTCTCGATTCAACCTTTAGTGGAGATTCAAGATAGATATTAGATTTTGAACCTTTTCCATATTCCCTTAGGATTTCTCAATTCAACCTTTGGCGGAGATTCGAGATAGAAATTGGGTTGTGAACCGTGCATGCTAACTTAGTTAGAGATTCTTGTTTTATTCTTGACCTTAGGGCCATCATTGTATGATAACATTAGGGATAGAGCTAGATAATTTTCCTTAGTTATTTTCTTTTCCTTTTGCATCCTTAAGACTAAAACATTTTTCTTGGAAAATGCATAAAACACTCTAATAATACAAAAACCCTTTTCAAGGTAAAAAATACCAACCAATTCAAACTTCATTTTGTCGGTAGGATTTTTCTTTTAAAACCCTTTTTCAAGATAAAAAACATACAACAAATTGAAATTATTGAGCCGAACAACGATGCTCTGATTCATTAAAATGGATACATAGGCATTTGGTCGCGGGGCCCAGGAGAGAAAAACTTTGTAAATGATCCTTCTTTTCCCCATGTTTTCTTTTGCATGCATTCCCTCTTTGCATTTTTCCCTTAACGCTTCAGATTTAGATTATAACACACCTTTTGATTAGTATAACGAGAGTGGATCCTGTGGAGTATCACAAACGTGAGGGGTGCTAATACCTTCCCCTTATATAATCGACTCCCTTAATCGTATCTCTCGGTCGTTTGACCTTGATTTCACCCTTCTCAGGTTTAGCCGATGTTTACCTTTCCCTTTCGATGGGATAAAAAAATTTTGATGGCGACTTTATTAATTTCATTTCAGGGATTTATTCCGTCAGTTGTTTCAGCTGGAGACCTTACTGGGGATAAATTGACCAAATGCTAGTCCATTTCTGAGTTTCTCCTAGCTCTTGTTTTCTTTTCCTTGGGTGTTTATTTCTTTACGCTTTACAACTTTATTCATTTGTACGCGTTGTTCATTTGTACATGTTTATCTGAGCATATATTTGCATTTCATTTTATCGCTTTCCATACTGGTCATCTGCTATACTGGATTATGTGTTTCCATGTTGGGTGGGTGTTGCTATTGAGGTAAAAGGCCCAGTACCCAGGCTAGAGTGCACTATCTAGGAAACCTAGGAATAGAGTAGAACATAAAGGCTATTGGACAAAGGTCCTACTAGCATGGTCATTTCGTCTATGCTCAGATAAAGTTCAAATAGGGTATTATAATCATCCACGTTTGTGGCTTGATGATAGTGCTTTTAGAGCAAACCCGTGATTTTGAGTTAGCGTTGACCTTACCCTGACCGAATATTTGCCCATGAGTGGGGAGGGAATAATATTTACTGGTATAAATAGTGACTTTGTTCTGATGGTGACTGTGTATTCTGTTGGTGACTATGGTTATTTAGTTATGTTCCAGATTTGTGATTCTGGTATTCTCGGCATGTTTAGAAACAACAACCAACCAGTATTGTGGTAACTTTGATTCCATGTGTTATTGTCCTTGCATCATGGAATATTTATTTTTACAAAAAAAGAAATGTATAAAAAAATGTATGCATGTAAGAAAGTTAACTCACATGTTCTTTCCATTTCCAAAGAATCATGCTTATGAGCCTTATGTTGTGTTTGTTCATCTCTTAGTGGATCAAAATCAAAATTAAAAGAATGTAGGTTCTGTTGCACCCCAAATTTGCCCTACCTGTTACTTTTGTCTGGCATGAACTTTGCATCCCATTTGCATCATTTTCACTAAGTTATTTGCATAGCATGCATCTCATTGAATCGGGCCCTTTGGTTCAAAGCATTAGGTTTGTGCCGTCCATATAGTTAACTTGGGTTTGAGGTTTTCTTTATCAGGTAAAAGGAAAATTCACCTGGTTCTCGATTAGTGGATTGTGGAATGAATTTATGAGGTATCATTGATTTCCTTCTTCGTCAAGTCACAAGGATGTTCTTCAAGGTCCTGGATTAGGGTTTCGATTATCTTCAACACCTCCAGATTTTTCTTCATCAGTATGCATCATCATATTTGAGCTTGTTACATAATTCAAATTATGGTCAATGGTTGTGACTAATATTGCAAGTGTTTGAGCTATAAAACAAGAAAGGATGTTGCGAGCTCGTATGATAATCAAGGCATGCTTTTGTTGCTTCAGTTACAAGTTACTGGTGGTTTGGATATCAAAGTGAAAGTTCTTATTGAGAGTGCAAGTTTGGTCTGGACGTGATATGAAGATTGAGGATTGAAACCATTCAAGTGGGAATTTCAAAGTTAAAGTTAAAGGTCATATGTGATTTCTTGAAGTTCAAGTTACAAAAGTGAGGTGTATCATTCAAACCATTCAAGTGGGAATTTCAAATTTCAATCAAGATTCAAGACTTATCCAATTTCCATACAACAAGTATCATTCATAAAGTTCAGAAAATATATCATTCAAGTTTTGTGTTTATTACATTTGTGGTCAATTTACAAAGGAAGTTACAAATGTGAAATACGAACTACGAATGTTTGTTTACAAAAATAAAGAAATATTTGTTCTTCAAGTTTTCTTTTGCTTCATCTTCAAGAAACTCATCCACACTCCTTGCTAGCCATGGCCTTTTCGTCTTTCAAACTCTCTTTGGCCGTCCAATTTTCATTGATCCTGAAACAAAAAAGAGGGAAAGTTAGCAAACATCAACATGTGAAAAATTCCAAGCAAGAATTAATTGTTAAAAGAAATTCGCATTTCCTCATTAGGGTTGGAATTTGGAATCAGAAATTAAAAAAAGTTTTTGTTTTCAATCATAAGTTATCTCCTCCTATTTTGCAAATCACAAAAGCTCGGGTTTTGGTTCACAAAAGGAAAAGAAGTTTGCAAATATTTCCCGTTGCAAAAGCAAAGTTAAAACTGCCAAATATACAAATAACAACATCAAAATAGTCCCAACCAGCAAGCACGGCCAGCAAGCGCAACAAGCAGCAAAACAACCAATAAAATAGTAAGCAGTGCAGTAGTAAAGCTGCCAAACAAGGCAGCATAGGCAAAATATAGAGCAAAGCAGCGCAACAGCAAAGCTGGCAAACAAGGCAGCATAGGCAAAATATAAAAACATGCAAAAACAGCAGCAACCAAAAAGCCTAAAACAACAGTGGATCCTGAAGAACAGTAAGCTATCAATAGCTCACAAAACCTCAAATGCATCATTTTCCTAAAAAATGCTAACCCTTCATAATTATGTAAAAGAAAAATAGTTTTTCATCATAGAAAGATAAAGAGAAAAAGAATAGGGTTTAGCCCTGTTATAAACCACCAAGACCAGTCCAAAAAAACATGTTAAAACAATCCAACTACATGTCAAAGTCAACCCTGCAAAACCTATGCCAAACCTGTTGCAAGCCAAGCATATCACTCTAAGTTTTGCACCAAAATAGATATAACCAAAACCTGTACTTAAAAATCCACCAAGTCAGCCTACAATAATGTTCAAAACTTCACCAATTCCCTCCAATTTCCACCCTTATCTCAATATAATAACAATCATTATTTCATTGAAAAGGGAGAACACAAAATATCAGCTACACCACAAGAGCCAAAAAAACCAAAAAAGATGAGAAAAAAGAAACACACTGTAAGTATACAATTTAAAAAAACCAAACACCCCTTCTCATTGAATATATTCCATACACAATTCACCTGCAACTCAACCTCCATCATCAATAACCTTCACAGAAAAATCACACAATACTCTCTTTGCAATATGCAAAACACAAAGCACCAAAAAAACCTATCAAATTCATCACTGAACCAACAAAACCGAATGGAACAATCTAACAGAAAGTATTAGAAATCAGAACAAACAATCCAAGAGGTCTAGCAGCATCAAGTGATCCAACTCGTAAAACCAACAAAATCATGCTATCTTAAGAGTGGGGGCAGAGGAAAGAGTAGAGAGTCATTACCTGAGCTCGAAGAACCCATCGGAGGGGCTCTGATTTGGTACCTTTGCTGAATTTAATATTTCACTTTACCTTTTCTCTTTTGTATATCATTTCTTTTATAAGGTGATGCCGTCATTATTCTCCCATAACCTGCTTGTTTGGCTGCTTCCGTTTTGTGGATTAAACTGTAAAATGTAATAACACATTAATCAAAAGTTCAATCATATAAAACAACTTACCTCTGCCTCTCTATCTCTCTCTTTGTTTCTTCTTAATCGCTTCTATGTCTCGCAACAACAACTATTTGCTCCACCCTTTCACCTCCACATTCATCCCTTTCTTCCGCCACTTACCGAATCAAATTTCCTTTCTCCGCGTCCTCAAGCTATCGACGCTAGAACCTCCACCTTCGCCATTGACGACATCTCCGCTTCCAACTACCATGATGCCTCTGTCAATTGCATGAATGAGTCCCACGGGAACTGTTTACCACCACACAGTGTAGAAGTCGACGAAGATCGGTCCAGCCTCAAAACGAGAAAATCTTCTAGAAAACTTTAGGATATCATAACCGTTGACGATGTTTCGCCTATTGAAACACAGGTTAGGGGACGAGTTCGCATGGTCAAGAAGCAGAAACTTGGGGATATCATTTTGGATGATGAAGTTTCGATGCAAGTAGTGGATAATCATGGAAGAATCCAAGATAGAAAAGATTGTGATATTTGAAGAGATGAAGGGATGAGTTTTCTGATTTTAGGTTAAGATGATTGAAATTTTACAAACCTTTTCCTCTTCCCTACAATGACCAGCGACCCCTTTCCTTGTTTAGGTTTTTGGAAGCATTTACACTTCTCATGGGTATTGACCCTAAGCCCGTTTTCCTACTGGAATTTAAGTCCAATTTGGTTTTTTTGGGAAGATCACCTCTCCTGTTCTCTTTTCAAAAATATAGCAAATAATAAAAAAAATCTGATTGGACTTTACCATTAAGCCCAACGAGTCACTATCCCTTCATCATACCTTTCTACTTTATACCCCCATACTAACTTAAGTTTGTTATTTCTTTCACTAATTTATTTAGTTTTTTTTATTATCAATCTAGCTTAGTTAGTAATTAATTAAATAAAAAATGTTTTTTAGATAATTTCTTTTAATTAGTTCAATTTCAATTATAGAATTAGGACTTCATTTCCTTTTAATTTCTAATTTTTTGTATATATAGTAGATTAATATTTTATTTTGATTTAATTTTCTTAACATGATAAAACACCCAAAAATATATTAGAATAATTTAGAGTTATGTTTTATTATTTATTTTCACAATAAAGTCATAAAAATATTGTAATACTATCTTCTTTTATTTAATCTAATAAAATAAAAAAAACATTTAGGATTTAAGTTTCTTTCAAACCTTGATACCATACTCCCTTAGGTAGCTCCATGAGGCAATTAAACCCTGTTTCGATCACTTTATGTCGAGGTAGACTTTTAGCTCACCACTGTACATGACAACATTATGATTTCTTAGTCCCCCTCATAATCTTTTTTTCTTATTTTGCAATTAAAACTTATCATTCACAAATCAAAAATATAAAAACATTTAATCATTACTCGAATTCATTTAAAACATGCAAAACACTCAACCAATCAAAACTCCCCCAAAGGGCATGTTATCTCCGCTCTACCGCGATATCGGTCGTGCCTATTTCTAAAATGCATGCGTTAACTTCGCCCACTAAAAAACACCAACAAACCAACCATTTTCTATAAGAACTACAGTGTTCTGATTCCTTCACTGTATACGTAGGCAAAGGGTCGCGAAACCCTCACGAACGCACTAATAAAAACCCTTTCTTTCCCCTTAAGCAAGTATAGTTATAGATAAACACACCCTTAGAGACAAACAAACAAAATGGATCCCATTGAGTACAACGAACTTGAGGGGTGATAATACCTTCCCATCACATGACTGAATCCCTTACCCTTTCTCTTTGTCGCAATACCATCTTATCCATCCTCTTGTGGTTTTATCGATATTCCCCCTTCCTTCAGGATAAATAAATTTCGGTGGTGGCTCTGTGTTTTCTGCCGATAGCTTCAGGTTCCTTGAAAATGATTGAACATGGCATTGCATCAACTCATACATCTCATGCATCTTCATGCATCCATAACAGGTACTCGAAGTTGGGGGAAATTCTCATTTAGACCTGGTATTCTCTTCAGAATTGCATGCTTGAATGCTTACTGTTATGTGTTCAGAGCCTGTGTATGGAACAACTCTGAGGGGTATTTCCCAAGATGAAAGGAAAAAGCGGGTTGTGTATAGTAGACATGCAAATCCATGGTCCATGGTCAAGAATTTCCGAAAGATGGAAAATTGTCAGTTGAAGACATAGTTGAGTCAGGTATGGAAGTTCTGAAGACAGTGCCAACAAAGGAAAGTGAACCTATATATGTTTTTGCAACATAATATGTCATTCATACCCATCCTAAGGGACCTTTTTCAATTCATGAAATACTTTGTGGTCACATCCAGAACTTCGTGTTCTCGAATTTTCTCGTCAGCATCTAGTTTATGGTCTCTAAGTGAATCCATGGGGAAAAGCTTATCAGCAGAGACAAAAGAAGCATGAGAAGCATGTTGATACAATCTCAATGCCTTACATCCAGTTACTTCCTCGTCTGTTTGAAATTCATTTGGTAAAGCTATGTTCTTTGGGTCCTCCTCCCACAAACCTTTTTCCTGATTTCAATGTAAATGCTAGATGTGTCTCCCATTCCGGGGCACCTCATTACGATATTGAAGACTGCAAGAGGTTGAAGTATAAAGTTAGGCACTTGTTTGGCTTCTTTTCCAAAGGCTAGTACCTCTTTCGCAAGTCGTTTCAGACTCTTTCTCCTTAGCTAAGTGCTTCTTCTGTGTAGTTGGGAGAGGGTGCAGGGTCATTGTACTGAACGAGTTTTTTTAATTAATCTTCACATATGATTTATGATTGATTTTAGAAACTAACACATATAACGAGTGATTATGCAGATTTATTTACAATTATTATTTATTTTGAAAGGGATTTTTCTAATTACCATTTTCCAAGAAAAAGCATAAAAATAAAGACACAATTTAGGAATCTAAGATAACTTTTATTATTGATTTTAAAGATCAAAGCAACAAATAAGCCCATACAACATCAATACTTTCACCTTGGGCAGAGTGAAAGATTTTTTGAAAAGATTAACAAAAAAATTTACTTTGAGACATGAATGCAAGAGGGAACATCGATAGTGATCAAATTTTGGACTCTAACTCCATGCGTCACGTAGTTAAGCATCTCCTGCTCTGCTTCACCTTCCACAATAGCATTGATCCTAGGAATAGTTGGGTGAAGGTAACCTCTGCAGAGAAAGATGTCCTGATATTTTCCCAAAGCATACTTCGACTTCATCTTCTCACCTTTATCATTCTTCACAGAGAATCCCAAATCAGCTCTATTCTTATTCACAGGTGGATCCACAATCTTCCCCATACTTTACTAGAGCCATTATGCACTACCTACTGAGCATCCTTAAATGAAGCTATAGAATTCTCATTTTCCCTTATATTATGAATGGATAAAGATTGGAATTGAGTTCCAACGATAACTTCATCTACTTACGCAACACTGAAAGAGGATAAATGAGATATTGACAAAGTCTATTCTCCATTTATGATGACCACCTTTCCTTCCTGAAAAAACTTCAGCTTCTGGTGCAAAGTTGAAGTGGCAGCCCCTTCCTCATGTATCCATGGTCGTCTCAGTAAATAGTTGTAAGCGGGAACAATATTTGTAATACAGTGGGAGAACTGACTTGGGTGTTTTACGTTTTATCGCAATTGTTGCGGATAGCAAGAGTCACCATCGACTTTTATTTTATCCAATAAAGGAAAGGGTGAAAAGAACAGGAAAGACCTTTCGAGATATTTTCATGAGTTCGGGGGGTAGGTTATGAAAACGGAAGGTGTTAGCACCCTTTTCATTCGTAGTTATCTACAGACTCTTAGTTGCTTGATCACTTTGAAAATGCTTTGTTTGAAATGTGTTTGTGTTTGGTGCAAGTTTGAAAATATTTTTAAAATGCCTTTGTTTCGGAAAACTTTGTAATGATTCTCGTCTCTATAAGAATGTATACAAAGTGTTTGTTTTGAAAATATTTCAAAGAGATATTTGTTTTTGAAGATGTTTTGAAAGTGTAAGTGTGGAAATGTTTTTTTTTGTGAGCAAGCAACTACGAGCGTCCTACCTACTCAAAAGGTCGTTGTTCTTTTCCTCCTCCTTTAGATGTGGCTATCTTATCATTGATTGGTAAGAAGCCTTATCATTGGATGTGAAGGGATGGGCATAGGTCAATTGTATAGTCATAGAAGGCAACTTATGAGACGTTTTAGCAATTTTCATAAGGGACTAGATCATTTATCGAAGGCAGCATCGAGGGACATCGAGGGACTATGATCTTTTTTTATCGAGGGTCTTTGCTAAAGCGCCCATATTCGAGGGACATGACTATTTTTGAGGCAACAAGCGTGGTTACCCTAGAGGTGCGCGTGTGAAAAGTATGTTTGATTCAAGTTAATTTGCCTTTGATTACGGTTGTCTAGCGATTGATTTTAAATCTTGCCATACACGCCTAATTACTATACAGTATAAAGAAAACAATAAATTGCGGAAATTAAAATTCTACGCTATTACAGAGCTTTCAGGAATGGGGGTACAAATTTACAAATGGGGATGGATCGAATTGTCAATGCGATTAAAAGTCTAAATAAACGATCAATACAACCAAATCGAATTGAATAATTAATTTAGACTAAAACGAACTATTAAAGTAAAATTAATAGGCAAAATAATATTTTTGGTATTTTATTTTTTATATCATGAAGAAATTAAACAATTTAAAAGAATGTTAACTAAAAGAGTTAATTAATAAAATTATTCACAAAGTCCTTAACTAGACTAATTAAGAAAATTAACTAACTTTGAAATTGTATTTTTTTTTAAAATAATTAAAACTATAGATTAATCAAATTAAATCTAAACTAAATAAAGTTATTAACTTAAATTTCTAGTTTATTATATTAAACCTAAATAGAGCTAATTATAAAATTAAATTTAAATTAAATAAAATTATTAAAATAATTCTAAACTTAAAATTCTAAGTCTAGTAAATTAAACATAAACTAAATTGATTATAGATTTACTAATTTGAAATTTTCCTAAATTAATCTTAAAAATGCTAGCTTAAGTATAAATATAAAAAATCAAAATTTTAAAATTATTAAACTATATCTAAACTAAACTTAAATGTAAATTAAGTTAATTATAAAATTTAAATCTAAACTATAAAAAAATATAAACTAAAGAAATTATAAAAAAAAGATAGTGAAACTGAAAATAGGATGTGGACAAAAAAAATAGGCTGGGCTATAAGCCCAAAGAGAATGTGAAAATAAAATATAAAAAAATAAAAAATAAAAAATAAAAAATGGCCTGGGCTTACACCGGGCCGGACTAGACCCAGGTCCACTTATCCCAAAACAAAGGAATGGGTGTGAAGAAAAGAAACCTAACAACACCCACGCCTCCTCTCGCACCGTTTGCTCTTGTTCCACTAGGCTTTCGTCGCAGACACCAAACATCAACAGAGAGACAGAGAAATCG